TTACACAATGAGCAGCATTAATGACCAAGCAACGAACACGGACAACGATTTGGACCATCGATTTGGAAGCAGGGAATGTGTAGTACCTCTTCCACTCTCACAAGCGAGAGCGCAGCAGGTGGGAGGATCTGTCCGGGACGTCTTACCCCAACCCGTTGATAGAGATTCCCCCTCTGCGATCGATGTTAATGTAACGGATTTTTCAAACACCTACCTACCTACCAACCAACCACAACCACAAGTATGCATATCGCCACGTCACGAAGCTCTTTCCAATTCGGGAACAGCAACAGCGCACACTAGCAATCACAACAGCGTTCTCAACAACATTCCTAGTAGCCGGATTGGGTCTGCTCGGGGGGAAGAAAGTGCTCCCTGCTTTTTGGAAAGTCAGTCCATGCAGTTTTTCTCCCGACATTCCACCGGTGAAGTTCGTCCAAATCAGCAGCATTATTTTTCTTCTTATCGCACAATCGATCCTAGTAACCGGCATTCCGCCGGTGAAGTCCATCGAGTTGCATCGACACCGTCATCATCACTGCGACAGCCAGTACCGCAAAATCGGTGTGGGGAGGGAGAGCGTGAAGTAACCTCCCCCCTCCCTAGGACGGGAGCGGATGTCCAGGGGGCAGTGGGTGGGACCAGTCACGAGTGTCTTGCACCTTCTATCTCCTCCTGGAATCCGGCCGATACTTCTTCACGAGTACACAGATCGTCGTCAACGTCATCACTATCATCCGCGGATAGTCGCCCTGGCGGTTGTTTCGCCCTTCAATGGAACCTGCGAGGACTACGGGCCAACATTAACGAGCTAAAACTCCTCATCGCTGACCATGAACCGTCCATTATAGCACTTCAGGAGACCAAGGTGAATCAAAAAGTGCTACAACCAGACTTCGTTGGAAGAAACTACACGCTCCTCTTAGAGTCGAACAGCGTACACCACTGGCAACACGGGGTAGGCCTTGCTATCCGGCAAGGTATACCTTTCGAGCGCGTGCACATCGATACCTCTTTACAGCTCGTAGCTGCACGCATCTACGCACCGATGCAGATAACAGTAGTATCCGTCTATATTCCACCGAGTGCAATCCAAGGCAGTCAGGCCGCACTGAATGAGTTGTTCGAGCAACTAAACGGTCCGGTTATATTTCTGGGTGACTTCAACGCACACCATCTCGCTTGGGGGTCACAAACATCAACCGCTCTCGGCAGATTCATTGCCGAAAAAACCCTGGACAAACAACTTGTTATTCTCAACAACGGCTCCGCTACTCGTATCGATCCGGCTACAGGTAACACTTCGGCAATCGACCTGACGTTCTGCTCCGAGTATCTGGCACGTAGATTTACTTGGCAAACCCTTTCGGACACTTTCAACAGCGACCACTTTCCGATAACGGTATCCATTCCCGGGTGGTCGTATTCGCGAACGACGCGACGAAAATGGCTCTACGAACAAGCCGACTGGTCGTTATACGAAAGCATCACAGCCGAAAGTATTCGATCAAGTGTCGAGTGGGACGTCAACAGTTTCACCGAAATGATCATCAACGCAGCAACTAAGTCCATACCACGAACCAGTGGTCGTGTTGGACCAAAAGCGGTACCATGGTGGTGCCCCGAAGTAAAGGCGGCTATTCGACGGCGAAGAAAATGTTTACGATCCCTGCGACGTCTACAACATTCTGACCCAAACCAACACGAAGCATTGGCTAGATTCCAGGAAGCCAGAGCAGCGGCACGACAGGCTATCAACCAGGCCAAAACGAATTCGTGGGATAAATTCGTAGCGAAAATCTCACCAACTAGCTCGACCACCGATTTGTGGAGAACGGTCAACACTCTGCGAGGCAATCGACAACAACGGACCGTAATGCTCAAGCGAGCAGATGGATTCACGGACAAGCCCGAAGAAGTAGCGGAGGAATTAGCGAAATGCTATAGTGGAAGATCAGCAACCTCTAGCTACTCTTCATCTTTCCAGATGGTTAAGACAGCAGCCGAACAAGAATCCATGGATCAAACACCGACACCGACCGATGATGTCTACAACATCGATATCACCCTTAACGAACTCCTGTGGGCCCTCGACAAAGGGCGAGGTGCTTCGACTGGTCCCGACTTAATTGGGTATCCGTTACTCCAACGTTTGCCACTGTCCGTGAAAATGACGCTTCTTGAGCTTCTTAACAGAATCTGGGACGAGGGTGTGTTTCCCATTAGCTGGCGGAATGCTGTTGTCGTACCCATTCCAAAACCACACTGCAACGACTCCGGACCTGATGCCTTCCGTCCAATATCGCTCACCAGTTGCATGGCGAAGCTGTTCGAGCGGATTCTCAATCGTCGATTGACCACCGAACTAGAATTGAGTGGACGTCTTGACAAACGTCAGCACGCCTTTCGTACAGGCCGCGGCACTGATACTTATTTTGCCGAGTTGGAAAGATCGCTGCCAACCCAAGATGAACACTGCCTGATAGCCTCCTTGGACCTGTCGAAAGCATACGATACCACCTGGCGACACGGTGTTCTGCGGACACTAAAATCATGGCGATTACGTGGGCGGATGATGAACATGCTGCAAAGCTTCCTATCGGAAAGGACATTCCAGGTGTCCGTAGGAGGGCATATGTCTCGCAAACACCAGCTGGAAAATGGAGTACCACAGGGTTCTGTCCTATCAGTGACTCTATTTCTCGTTGCGATGCAGCCTATCTTTCGGGTGATACCGAGAGGAGTCGACACTCTTCTGTACGCGGACGACATTCTCCTCGTCGTACGAGGGGCAAAAAGTGAAGGACTACATCGCAAACTACAAGCCGCCGTCAAAGCTGTCGATAAGTGGACGAAAAGCGTTGGATTCAGCATATCAGCAACAAAGTCCTACATTTTTTATTGCAGTCCGAATGCACGTCGAGAACCTGGAAGTAACATCGTGATAGACCGAGTATCCATCCCGAAGACAAACCGTTTGAGAGTCCTGGGTGTAACCCTAGACCGAACTCTGAGCTTCAAACCTCATTGTCAAATGGTGAAGAAAGCGTGCGAACCTCGGTTACGAATCCTTCAGATGATCGGTGCCAAACTTCCGCGTGGCGATCGAAAATCGCTACTGCAGGTGGGATCGGCCCTAGTGACCGCGAAACTGATGTACGGTATTGGAATAGTTAGCCGAGGAGGACCAGTAACGCTACAGAGTCTCGCTCCAGCCTACCATAAAATGGTACGGTTTGCTTCCGGAGCCTTCGTCACTAGCCCGATACAATCGATCATGGCTGAAGCGGGCACCTTACCGTTTGAACTGCTAGCAGCACAATCCATCGCGCGAATTGCAATTCGGATACTAGCAAAGAATCAGAACAACAACAGCCTCCCTCTCATTCGACGAGCATCGGATCGCCTCAATGAGCTGACAAACTCAGCGCTCCCCGCTGTCGGTCACCTTATACGGCAGACCGATCGTCCGTGGCACACACGAAAACCTTCGATCCTGTGGGACGTTAAAAAATGTGTACGAGCCGGCGATCCTCCAGAGAAAGTCCGCCCGGTAGTGCAACAACTACTGTCGACCCGCTTCCACCGATCAACCGTCGTCTACACCGATGGATCCAAACACGAAAACACTGTAGGTGCCGCATTCCATAACAATGGTTTAACGGGAAAGTACAGCCTCCCAAAGGAATGTAGCGTTTTTTCTGCGGAGGCGTACGCCATTAAGATGGCTGTTTCCATTCCGAATATTTCGAACGAATTAGTCATTCTAACGGACTCTGCTAGTTGTCTCCAGGCCTTAGAAGCTGGAACATCTAAGCACCCGTGGATTCAGGAAGTGGAGCAAATATCGCGAAACAAATCCGTCCGTTTCTGCTGGATACCTGGACACGCCGGCATCCACGGAAACAACGAAGCTGATCGGTTGGCAAATATGGCGAGAACACAACCTCCCATTGATGTACCAATCCCAGGCGACGATACGCTGAGAATGGTGATGCAAAACATTCGACAACGATGGAACGACCAATGGTTCGCGTCCAGAGACTTTAAACTGAGAGAAGTCAAAGACGACACGCACAAGTGGACGGAACGGGGAAGCACTTTCGACCAGCGTGTGCTAACACGACTAAGAATTGGTCACACGCGGCTAACCCATACGTTCTTACTGAAGAAAGAAGCCCCGCCCAATTGTTGTGGAACGGCTTTAGACGTGCGACACGTGATTTTGCATTGCAAAAACTATGAAAGGCAACGACAAGAGAACAACATTGATACAACAAGCTTACGAGATGCGCTAGGAAACTCTGAGGAGCAAACCACAAATATGCTGAATTTTCTACGCCAAACTGGACTTTACCGAAAAATTTGAAGAATACAGAGAAAAGAAGAAGGAACAGCCGAAATCCGGTGTAATGGCAATGAAGATAACGGAGCAAACAAGGAAGGAAGAATGTGAAGAAGATGGAACAGCCGAAGCCCAGTGTAGCGGCAAGAAGGTGAAGCAGTTAACGAAGCAAGGAAGGAAGGAAGAATGTGAAGAAGATGGAGCAGTCGAAACCTGGTGTAGAAGCAAGACGGTGAAACAGTTAACTGAGCAAGGCAGGAATGAAAAATGTGATGAAGGCAAACATGTAGCTGGATGAAGATCAAGTAAAGAAGGTGAAGGTCATCAAGAATACAAAGCGGATAGCGGATGGAAGAAGAAGATCAAAAGAAAAATTATGATGAAGTAAAGGCGGAACGCAAAATTAAGTGCAAAAAGACGAAGAAGATCAAGAAGATAAAGCGGAAAATAGCAAAATGAAGAAGACGACACCGATGGAAATCCGGAGAAATCGTGAAGACGCGGAAAAGGAAATCAAAGCAATGGAATTAAAGAAGGATGAAGAAAGAAGATGATGAAGAAGTAAAGAAAATTATTTGAAGTATGGTGAGATGAAAGAAGAAGATAGTGAATGAAGAAGAATACCATTTAGCAACAAATGATCAAAATGATCAGA